CGTGTGAAACTTCTGAGTGACTTGTGCTGGAGTTCTCATGCTGCTAGTATTAAAATAGCCTTGAAATTCCTAAACATTATAAATGACAATTTCCTACCTCAGTGTTTCACCCAATATGGGGGGTAATTCTTTATTATACCTTGTTCTAACAGATGAAGAGGAACTGATTACAAAATTAAAAATTAATCGGTAGCTTAGGTACAACTGATCATGACTTGATTTCATGACTTGGTATATAATATGCAAGCAGAATAAAGTCCAAAAGTGTACTTGATGCTTTAACAGGGCCAATTTCACTAAGCTGAAAACAATTATGAGCCAAATTACCTAGGAGGAAGAATTTAATCAGAAAAAATGTGAGTGATGATTGGGAATCACTTAACACCTACCTTGAGAGACATAATGAAGGAAGAAGGCTGTACTGATTAAAAATGTGGCCTGGTTTGGAAGGGAATTGAAAACAACAGTAAAGTGTGTGTGTTGTATTAAAGATGAAAAGTTTTTACAATAGGAATAGAAAGAATCTTGACAGTAGTATTGGTCCATTAGTTGATGGAAATGGTAAAACTATCAATAATAATGCAGAAAAATCAGATGTTTTCAATAAATATTTGTTCCATATTTGGGGAAAAACATATGCTTTGGTCTCATCATGTGGTAATAACAGTCTTTCCATTCCACTAATATCTCTGTTAAAGTTGACCATTTTCAAATCTGCATACCCAAATAACTGGCATGTAAGAATTTTAAAAGAGCTGTCTCAGGAGCTCACAGGACCATTAATGGTGATTTTCAGGAACATAAAAATGGCCATACTGGGTCAGACCAAAGATCCATTGAGCCTAGTATTCTGTCTTCTGACAGTGGCCAATGCCAGATGCTCCATAGGGAGTGAAAAGAAACAGATAATTATCAAGAGATCCATCTCTTGTCATCCATTTCTAGCCCCGGACAAACAGAGGCTAGGAACACCATTCCTACCCATTCTGGCTAATAAGTATTAATGGACCTAACTTCCATGAATTTATCTAGTTCTTTTCGAACCCTGGTAAAGTCCTAGTCTTCACAACATCCTCTGGCAAGGAGTTCCATAGGTTGATTGTGTGTTGCGTTAAGAAAAATGTTTTTGTTTGTTTTTAAATATGCTACCTATTAATTACATTTGGTGACCTCTAGTTCTTATGTTATGAGAACAAGTAAATAACTTGTTCACTTTCTCCATACCCATCATGATTTTATAGACCTCTATCATATCCTGCCTTAGTCTCCTCTTTTCTAAGATGAAAAGTTCCAGACTTTTTAATCTCCATATGGGACCCGTTCCAAACCCCTCATCATTTTTTGTTGCCTTTTCTGAATCTTTTCCAATGACAGTATATTTTTTTGAGATGAGGCGACCACATCTGTAAGCACTAGTCAAGACGTGGGCGTGCCATAGATTTATATAGGGGTAATAAGATTTTTTTTGTCTTATTCTCTATCCCTTTTTTAATGATTCCCAATATTGTTTGCTTTTTGGACTGCTGCTGCACACTGAGTGGATGTTTTTAGAGAACTATCCACAATGACTCCAAGATCTCTCTTTTGTGATTATAGCTATATTAGTCCCCATCATTTTATATGTGTAGATGGGATTATTTTTTCCAATGTGCATTACAGTAGACTTCCAATAATCCGGAACCTATGGGACCTAGGTGGTGCCGGATTATCAAATATGCCAGACTATCAGGAGGTACTATAAGATGGTTATGTATATACTGCATACATTATATATTGTATATAAAGTGTTCTTAACCCTTTTTATTGTACATACTATATACAGTATACTGTCATGTTTTAGTTTTGTTAAGCCTTTTTTACCCTTTTTGCTCAGTTCAGCTGCTGCCCCTGTTACCTTGTGACTCATTTTTTGCCGAAGCTCATTCACTAGGCTCTTGCCATTTTGATGCCGGACTATCAGGAGTGCCGGACTATTGGATGCCGGACTATTGGAGTTTTACTGTCCTTTGTATATATCAACATTAACATTCATTGGCCATTTTGTTGCCCAGTCAGCTAGTTTTGTGAGATCCTTTTGAAGCTCTTCACAGTCTGCTTTGGTCTTAGTTATCTTGAGCAGTTTAGTATCATCTGCAAATTTTGCCACTTCACTGTTTATACCTTTCTCCAGATCATTTATAAATAGAATTGGTCCCAGTACAGACCCTTGTGGGACACCATTTGTTATCTCTTTCCATTCTGAAAACTGACCATTTATAAGACTTGAAGAGCTTAAGAAGTTCCAGAAAAGTAAAAGAGCGCTAGTTTTGTGCCAGTTTTTAAGAAGGGTAAATGGGATGACCCAGGTAAATTATAGGTCTGTCAGACTGACCTTGATCCTGGGCAAGATAATGGAGTGGCTGGTATGGGACTCAATAAACAATTATTGAAGATTAATATAATTAATGCAAATCACATGCATTTAGGGAAAATAGGTCCTGTTAAACGAGTTATCTTATTTAAAAAGGCATCGGTTGATATGACCCTGTTGGAATTCTTTTTCAAGTTCTGCTACCCACAGTACAAAAAGGATGCTGAAAAATTGGAGAACGTTCAGAAGAGCAAGGAGAATTCTCTAATCCTTTAATCAGACACTTTGTAGTGATACTCAGGGAGCTCACTCTCTTTAGCTTAGCAAAGGGAAGGTTAAGCAGTGACTTGATTAGTCTGTATCTCTTCATGGGAAACAAATATTTAATAATGGGTTCTTCAGATTAGCAGTGAAAGATATAAAGTGATCCAACAACTGGAAGTTGAAGGTAGAATAAGACTGAAAATGGGGTATAAATTTGTGATGAGTAATTAACTATTGGAACAATTTACCAAAGGTTGTGATTCTCCTCCACTGGCAATTTTTAAATCTATTGATTGGTTTTGGAAATAGTTCTGCAAGTTCTGACCTGTGGTATACATTGGTCTTTTCTGCCCTTGGAATCTATAAATATTAATAAGGGTTTGACATTTTATAGCTTTCATGTGTTCAGTTTGAGTGGTAAAGTGGTGATATTCTAAAGTGTAGAATTTTGCATTACCATTGTAGGCAATAATATTTTTTCATATATAATATAAAAAACCACCACCAAGACCCTGCTTTGTGACAATTTACATGTTCCCATTTTTACAAACAACAGTGATGAAGAGCTCTGTCTGCTCTGGACTCTGTTTGAAAAAGTACTTTCTGCATATGTGGGTAAAATACTGACTTGAGCATACTTGTCCTCAAAAATTGGTAGTATGGCTAGTAAATATAATAAAAATGAATTATTGGCTAGACATCATCAGAATGTTCAGTCCCACGTATGTTAGACTGTTTTCAGTAGGGAGCTGCAAGAAAGAGCTTCTTTTCTGCACAATTTGGAAAATGACCAACCTCTCCTTTACTCTTTGAGCACCTTATAAGGTGCACAAGCACTGTGACTGGGGAATAAAGAAATTTCTCACTGTTTAGACAGGAGAACAAGAGCCTCTGTGTGCCTTTAGGAGGTTCAAAGAGATTCTAAATTATTCACCTCTGAAGGTGAAAGCTCTGGATAGTGAGTTAGTGCAATAAAGGAAATGCTTATGTAACCAGAAGTTTAGGGAGACTATTTTTTGTATCCTTTCATCTGTAACACTAAGTAATTTAGTTATGAGTCTGAATGTACAGTACTCCAAAAGAGTAGAATAACACATTTTGAAACACTAAACTGTGTAATTTCATGGGCTACTTGAGTTGGATTCCAGACATTGTCAAGAAAACTTTTTTGTTGTTTATCAATTTCATATTTAATTGGATATCACTAAAGAATTATATGACACTGTCTGTATTTAGTGTGTTTTTCTCTCTCAAGTTTAGTTTACTTCAAAATCATCCTTTGGATCCTCATGGATTTTTCTGCATTATTATTGATAGTTTTACCATTTCCATCAACTAATGGACCAATACTACTGTCAAGATTCTTTCTATTCCTATTGTAAAAACTTTTCATCTTTAATACAACACACACACTTTACTGTTTTCAATTCCCTTCCAAACCAGGCCACATTTTTAATCAGTACAGCCTTCTTCCTTCATTATGTCTCTCAAGGTAGGACATGTCATATGATCCCCTAGCAGAAGAAATAGTCTTCCACTTCCATGTGGTGTTTTTCTGCTAGAACGTTCAGTAACCTAGAAACCTTATGGGCCCGCTGAAGATTAAACAAAATGTCTGAGAATGTTAAGTACATTTTTATGGTTTTCTGAATAAGGATTTGTCACCAGCACCAGCTAATAATTTATAATGGTTTCTAGTATGACTTTTTTATATATATAATTTTTTTCGTTACAGAATGATATCAGAGTCAAATTTGAAAACAGAGGTGAAAAAAGGTAAGGCAGGAAAAGGTAAACTATTGCTGTTAGTGTTTGGGTTTTATTGCTATTTCTCTTAGTGTCCCAAAGAAACCATTAAAAGTACTGGCTGTTCTTTGAGTGATTGCTCCTGTCCATTCCAGATGTGTGCATGCACAGTCACCAGAAGGTTTGTCCTCTAGCAGTATCAGCTGGTTGGCTGTGGAACCTCCTGGATTGGCATCCCATTGTGGGATGTATATAAAACATTGCCAAATCTCTTCCCGCTCAGTTCCTTCTTACCACCAGTGACTATGGTTGGAGCTTTCAACTTCTCTTGCTTGGGGCATTTTTCCTATCTCTTAGCTTTTTTTAGTGTAAATCATTGTAAATAGAACTGTAGTATTAGTTCTAGTTAGTGTTATCTTTAGATAGAGGGGAGTAATCCAGTCCTCTACGCTCTTGGGGCCAGGACATGCCTTGGTCTCAGGGTAGAGATGTAAAAAGGGTTAAAATGTACTAACCATGTAACTGATTACCATTCTATTGGTTACGCTGTTAACTAGGCTTCTGCTGTTAGTACCTCAGATTAACAGTACTGGCATCAGGAACTGATAAGCATCAGCTTATTGGTTATCTGGTTAAACTTTTACACCCCTATCCCAGGGTTTCAAACTTTGTGCTTTTTGTCAGAACCCTATGCCTCCGGGATTCCTCTTGCCTTAAGTGTTTGGGCGAAGGACATGAAACAGACAAGTGCAAGTTTTGTAGGGGTTTTGGTTTCAGAACCAAAAAAGAAAGGGACTTCAGACTAAAACTCTTCCTGGTGGAGTCAACCCTACAGCCACAGTCTGTGCAGCTGGCACCAGCACTGAAATCACCTTTGATACACAGTGCTCCTTCAGTGCAGGATGTCACAGCACAGAATGGAATGGTCTTCCAAGACCCTTCACCGCCAGTGCTCTCCGGGATCAAGATCTGCAGGGACATCTTTGCAGCACTGTTCACAATCTCTGGTGCTGCATCATAAGAAGCAGCCAGCATAAGGGAGGTCATTCACTGAGGCCAAAGGAGTGCGTCCTATGCCAGGACACTCTGTGGTGCCTAGTGGTGCCTATGGACCAACCGGCACCCTTGAGTCCAACACCACCAGAGGAGCTGTCGAATCTGGTGCCTCTGGATTCCCTCAACATGTGGTAGGTCTGGACATGCCATCCACCACTGAGACTTTTGAAGTGGCATGGGACCTCTTAGAAATGATGGCCTAGCACTCCCCATCTCCAAAAGTGACCGGTAGACCTGCCTCGACCGGCACTGCAGTGCCATTCCAGAGCAAACCTGCCATGGTTGGCAACAGTCCACATTGCCTCAGCATCCTTCTCTTCAGAACTGCTGCTCTTCCCAGGACCGTTCCCTTCAGTACCATTCCCCTGTGCCATTTGAGACCAGTTCCCCCTTGGTCATCAAGGTCGGGCTCGGTCTTGGACTTGAATCGGGACACCTGTGTTTCCAGGAGGAGCCATCGTCATTCCACACACTTATGCCGGGATAGGTCAGTGATGCCTTGGCCCCAATGGCAGGCACCACCAGAGTAGTCCTCCTCAGATACCCAGCATGTACCATCAAGTCCAAAGCCCCAGTTCCTGGTCCGTGTTGGTGATCTCAGATAGGAGGGGTCCCCCTTCATCATCTGTTGCCAGGCCACCTCCATCCCATCATGGCAGCAAGTCCACGGGGCAACCCTGCACCGAGATCGGTGTTCAGCTGGGCTCCAGCACAGAGACCGGCATGCAGCAGGGTACCGCTACCACACCACAACATGGCTCCGTGATAAGCACGCTGCCTGGCACTGCACTTGCAGCTCAACTGGGGCATTGTGTTCAGAGCACCACAAACTACTGCCCAGGAGGACTCTGAACCGATTAGAGCATCTACTTCCTCTTCTCCTGATGAGGCTGAGGCAGAGTCATCTACCTTGTTACCACCAATGGATAATAGAGCTTATGGGGATCTGTTTGGGAAGGTGGCTCATAATTTAGATCTGCAAGCAGAGGAGGTTGTTGAAGATCTTGTCCTGCTTAGGGGACATCCTGCCCCAGAGGATTCCTCTAAGGTGGCTTTGCTGTTCATCAGGACAACATATATTATAGCAAAATCTCTATGGCAACCCCTTGCCTCCATTCCTTTCACTGCAAGGGGCGTGGAGAGGAAATACTTTGTTCCCTCTAAAGTAGTGATTCTTAGACTTTTGGGCCCGTGGACCACCTGGCTCAATGCAAAGCTTTCCACGGATCACCAGTTGCTAATGGAAACTCACGCTTAACCACATAATTATGCCCAAGCCATTTTGCTAGTGCTGCAGCTAGGGAGAATGGTTTCATTTAAGTTGTTACACAGGTTGTGTTTTTAACTTTCTCATGTTTGTTTATCAAACTTCAGTTTAAACAAAGTAAAATATTAATTTGTCCAACACAAAAGGTTTCAATGTTTTCTTTATGGCAGGGGCAGGGAACCTTTTTTGGGTTGGGGGCCACTGATCCGCCAAAATATCATTTGGGGACTACACAAGTGAGAAGCAAAAACACTCCTCCAAAAACCCCCAATCAGTACACCTCATTCCTCTGGTGCTCCAGCCCCACGGGGAGAGGGGAAGGGACAGGGAGGATTGAAATTCAGGGCTTCCCATAGGCCAAATTTCCTTTTCTGGGGTTCCAGAGTTAATGGATTTTGTGGACTTCCTTAAGCTCTGGTGTGGGGACATAAATGGAGAGATTCAGTGTGCGAGTGGGATAGGGATGGGGGTGCAGGATCTGGGCAGGAGATGGGATGCAGGATGCAAAGTCTGGGTAAGAGAGAAGGTGCAGAAGCAGGCTGGGAGTAGGGTGTCTGGCAAGGGGGGAGGGAGCAAGAACAATGGTGGATGCAGAAGCAGGGTGGGGGTAGTTGTCTGGACGGTGGGAGGGTACAGAGCAGGGTTGGGTAATAATTTTTGATGGGGGGGGGGCACTCCAAGAATTTGGTAAGTGATGGAGAGTTGCACTCTTCCATTATTAATGGAGGAGGCGGGGGGTCTGGGATGGAGGTTGGGTGCAGAAGGGAACTTGGGTAAGGGATTGGGGTGTGGGATCTGGGACGGAGCTTGGGTGAATGAGCGTATCGTGCCCTGGGGCAAGAGTGGAATCAGGAAGGGGTCTGGGGACTGGGAGAGGAGTGTGACCTGGGGTAGGGGTGCAGGAGTTTGGGTTGTGACTTGGGGCAGGCAAGTGGGATGCGGAGTCTGGGAGGAGTATGGGTGCAGAAGAGGATTCTGGCCCCGGAGAGGGGTGTAGGAGGAGGGAGTACAGGGCCTGGGAGGGGATTAGGACCTGTGGTAGGAGTGCAGTATAGGGTGCAGGGTCTGGGAGGAGGTTGTAACCTGGGGCAGGAGTGCAGAAGCGGGGTTCAGGGATTTGGGCTGTAACCAGGAACAGTGGATTGGGTGCAAAGCCTGGGAGGGTGTTCTGACATGAGGTGGGGCATACAAGGAGATGCGGTGTCTGGGAAGATATATGGGATCTGGAGCAGAGGTGCAGCCTGACTCCCAGCCAGCAGCCCAGCAGGTTCCTTAGCTGGGGCCAGCTGAGGCTCTTGCAGGCTGGATCGGCCCGCAGATTATCTTTTGCCCAGCCCTGCTGTAGGAACAAGCTGGGAGTGAGGGGAAAGCTCTTAATTATGCTACTGTCCTGAGATCTGGGCTTTCTTGGCACTCCCTCTCCTCCCCGTGGGGAAAGCCCTTAATTATGCTGCTGTCCATCTGAGCTTTCTTCAAACTCTCTGCCTCCCTCCCTCCATGCGGGGGAAGCCCTTGACTACCTGCAGTTCCCTCAGGTGAGCTGGGCAGGAGGGAGGTGAGAAATGCAGCATGGCTCTGGTCTCTGTCTCTTTTGAGCCGGTGTGGCTGGGTCGGGGCTTGGTGGACATGAGGCTAGAGTGCCAGCACACTCCCTGCTGCAGGGGAATGTGGGGGAGGGAGGAGAGATTAGTTTGAGCTGCAGGCCACCTGGGAGGTGGCCAGGGACCGCACTTCGAAAACCACTGCACTACATTATTCGGTTGCATGCCAGAGATTATGCTGTTTTCGGAAGACCAGTGCTTCTGTTGGCAACTCAGTAATCTCCAACCGCTCTACCAGATAACTGCTCGGGAGTCACCTGCTTGGAATGGGCATGAGCAATCACTCAAAGAAAAAATGGTTATCTACCTTTTGTAACTTGTTCTTCGAGAGGTGTGGGTCATGTCCATTCCAAGACCCAGCTGTCTTCCTTCTGTTTGAGTTTTCTGGCAAGAAGAAAATGAGTGGGGTGGTCTATATACAGCACTATCCCCGCACCACTCCAGGGGGCTCCACAGCTGGCCAAGCAGGTACTGCTAGAGGGCAAACCTTGTAACGACTGTGCATGTGGTGCACGCGCACACACCCCAGCTGGAATGGGCATGAGCAACACATCTCGAACAACTGTTATGAAAGGTAGGTAACCATTTTATAGAAATTGTACATATGTGTCTTAAGAGAAGTAGAATATTCAGCACAAACAGACAAAATAAAGAGAATTGCATCATTTAAACAAGTAATTGAAAGCTGTTAAATATAGACCCCAAACTCTACTTAAAACTAATTAGCAAATGACTTGCCAAATCAGATTTGCATACGTGGTCAGGAATTATTGAATTAATGTATTCATAGTATGTGAAATGAGAGTGCAAAAACTGAATTGGGCCACCAGAGCTAATTTATCTGTACAAAGAATTTATAGTAATTACTGAGGCTACAAGATTTACTTGCCAACTGTGCTGCGGTTTGATGCTGTGTATGGAAGTCATTAGTAGCAATGATATTTAAAAGGAGACCTGACTGATTTAAATGTTAAGAAAAAAAATTGGTCATGAAGTCAGAGGAATAACTGACCCAGAATAGTTGTGCCACCATTGCTAGAAAAATGTAGGAAAACTCTAACTATATACTTCCAGAGAAATGAGCAATTCATGTATTTCTGCAGGCGGCCAGACTAATCTGGAGGCTTCTTCCAGCCCCAAATTTAAGGTCATATAATTGTCAGTGTGAAAAATGGGATTTAGAATTTTTTTCATTGCATAATTAACTTTATACCCTTTCCATTAGCCAAGGAGTTGTCAAATGTGATTCTTGTATGCAAATTTCAAAGAATGGACCTGATTATTTAAATGCTCTCATATGAACAACTTTATTCAGATGAGTGAAATCAGTGGGACGTATGCCAATATAAATAAGTGTTTGCAGGATCAAGCCGTACATTAGCATGACAAGGAAACACTTTGCTGTTTCTGTACTGACTGTGGTTTTGTGGGAAAATCCTAATGAGCAATTCTGCTATAGAAAAGTCTTTTGGGATTTGTAACTGGGCAATTCTGCTTGGTTTCTACTGAAATTTCAGTTCAAATGTAGCTTCGTATTGGAGGCAGTGAGATATTCAAAAGCTTAAAGTATAATTCAAGTGAAGATGTATGACTCAGTCTCCCCTTTGTGGAGGTTTCCCACTCTCCTTCACTTCCATGCCTCCTTCATGCATCTCCTTTTCTTGGAACTCTGTTCCTGAAATGGCTTGCCATGCCTTATTTCTCTTCTCCAGGTATTTCCTGCCAATATGCTTCCTTCCATTAACCTTAGACCTGCCTAGAGAGAGGTGGTCACACCTTAAACTGTTGAACATGGCCTAAAAGGAAAAAACCCTCTAATTATGGTCACGTTTGTTGTGTAAATAGTGAACTCTTTAGAGTAAGGGCCTTAATCTTCATATTCATGGGCATGCAGCACTAAGGATACACAGTACCAATAACCTATACTATTATAAAAGGAGAGGTGTCCGTCACACCGTCTGTCACACAACATTTGAGAATTCTCAGGAAAGGTACGATATTGAAGGCTGTGGTGATGGCTGCCGTCCCTCCTCCCCCTCCCCCCGCCTCCACCAAATCGGGACATGAGGATGTGGCGGCACAGGGGGCAGGCCCAGTGGGTAGGGGGGACGTGTGGGAAGACCCAGCTCAGGGGGCCGAAGGAGGGATGGGTGGAGCGTGGTAGGCAGGGGCTTACCACCAGCCCAATACTTGCAGCATCTCCCACTACTCTGTCTCCGGGCCCAATATGCCACTCGGAGAAGTCATTGTGCCGCAGCAGTAGCTGCTCAATGGACCACATGGTATGGTCCCCCGCCACACTCTGTTGCCCACTGCTGCCTCCGCCCTGGTGTGCAGGAGCAACGTGGGACCCTGGCCCATGAGCCGCCCACCCCAGCAGGCACAGATCTGTATGATACCAGTGCTGTCACTAGCTCCCTGCTGCACCTTCTGGCCCCTTGTTGGGGAGATGCCCCTGGGTCACCCCGTCCAGCAGGTGGGGACAGCGGGAGCAGCAGATGCGATGGGGAGGGGAAGCGCCTTGTGGGCCATCGACCTGCTGCTGCCCTGGCATGATGACTTCTCCAAGCGGCACATTGGGCCCAGGGACAAAGAAGCAGGAGATGCTGTGAGCAGTGGGGCTGGTGCTAAGTCCCTGCCTGCTGTACTCCACGTGTCCCTCCCTTGGCTCCCTGAGCCGGTGCCCCCAGGCCCTCTCCCGCACTTGCCCCCCATGCTGCCTGCTCGTCCTCCCCACCTTGCTGCTGCATCCTCCTGTCTCTGCCACCCTTCCCCACTGCACTGCAGCCATGAGGCAGGGCTCGGCTAGTGATGAGGATAAAGAGGACTCCCTTTTTAATAATAACAAATGTGACAGTTCTCTTTTTTTTTTTTAAAGTTACATTGAAGTCTGTGCTATGGATCACCAGACATTACTGGCCTGGAAAATCTTATCAGTACAAGTTCTTCTTTTCTAATCAGAATGCTAGTGTGGCCACCTTTTAAAATGGTTGGAAAAATAGAAGTACTCTTGGGGGAGCCGGCCTGCAAGGGGAGCCAGTTTAAAAGCCAGCTCACCTTGCGGACCAGCTGCCTGCTGCTGCCTCTGATAGAGGTAGCAGTGCAAGGTGGCAGCAGAGACTGCTCAGTGGGGAGCTTGGATCCCCGCAGCACCGGCTCCTGCTCCCCTTTCCCCTTTGCTGCCTCTGATACAGAGGCAGCAAGAGGAGGGAATGCAAGTAGTCAACAAGATTAACCTATAAGCTTCAGCTTATTGGTTAATCATTTAGTCGACTACTTGCTGACATCCCTACTTTTAGTGGCCTTTAACAGACTTCACTGTCTGATGTCTGAAATTGCAATGGAAATGAATTAGCACATCATTAATGGAAGAGTGTTTTATGTAATGCAAAAGACATCTGTATAGCCACCTTTAAAATATAGGACTGTTTATACCAGCTAGAAGTAATTTGGTGCTGAATGCCCAGCTGGAGAGAGAAGGTGGGTGAGGTAACTGTTTTTTTTATATTGGACCCACTTCTGTTGGTGAAAGCTTGCCTGCAAACAGGTGAAACTGGATAGACCAAATCCAATATGCAGGTTGAATTCTGATGTTCTTTGAGAACATGCACCTCCAAATTACATGGATAGTGTAGCACAGTGGACACAAGGTTATGCTTCCACATTGTTGTAAAATAGGATGTTGAAAGGAGGAGTCATAAGCTATTCACGAGTTCCTAAGATAATGAAGATAGTGTTCTAAACAGATGGCCAAAGCCTTCTAGTGTACAAAGTTCCAAGCTTACTGAATGCAC